GGGGGGGGGGGGATACCATTTATTTGAAAAGTACCCAATTTTTTACCTAGGCATCAGTGAGTGCTTCACCCCTTAGAGAAATATATTACAAGTTGCTTTCAGGCAGCAGCACTCGTGTTACAGCACAATTGTTTCCACTTTCCCCTTGGCCTTTTACCTGGGCCAGAAGCCATTACTGCCTCTAAAAGAAGACCCCAAGGCAGTCACCCAGAGACACTTGTTCCTACAACTAGAAAACTAGCAGAAGCTCTGCCACCAACAGCAAAGATTCACAGCAGGGGTACGTCAAAACCTTCCCTGAATTCATGTATTTACTTTCCCGGTTCACACCCGCCCTACAGAGAAGTAGAGGTTCCTTTCTCTTCGCTGAGAAAAGTGCATTTTCTCTCTCTGTGCCAACACTGCTGGCTCCGAGTCTGTGGGAGGATCTGGTGGCAAAGCAGACGTTTGGGGACCGAATCTGTGATGGCTCTGTGGCGCCCACTTCCTCCCTCTGTTACATCCAGATACAAATGCAAGCTTATTCATTTATTTTAATTCTCCCTCTCTTGCTAGCAACCTGTGGACTTGGGATCTGACTGGTGAGGCAAGGAGGGAAGCTGGGTAGGCACGGGCTTCTGTGCGGGACCTGGGGCGCCTCGCCGCAATCTTCAGCGGCAAGTCCCGCATTCCTGGTGGTCTGGCGGGGTCTGCTGGTACCTGCATCGTTGCAGGAAGCCATGACCGCGCACTTCTGTCCCTGGCCTTTCTGCCCCTCTTTAGTTCCCGTCCTAAATTGACAAGCCAGTGACTATTGGCTGGAGTTCCCCCAGCGATTTGCATGAACCGAGAGGGAGTGTCTTCTGCCGCCCTCCCTTCAGGAGCGCTCTGACTGCAGCCGCCCTGGGAATGCGCGGCGGAGGGAATGCGTGCAGCTCCCGGGCCCTGGCAGTGAGCTGGCGCCCTGCGACCTGGCACCAGCGCCTGGATATGGGGCGTCTACACGGTCCCAGGAGCAGCACCAGCCACAGGAACCTGCAGGTAAGGGTTGGACCCGCGACCTCGACAAGTTGCGGTATTGCGAACCAGTTCCCACTCCTGGATGGTTTTTCAAACCTTTTGCCTTAATCTAAACTTCGCAGGAAGGATGCGGGTAGGGATAGGGAGTTCGGGATAATGTGTCTTCATTTCAACAAGAACCAGGCAAGTCCCTGGGTCAGGAGACGAAGTTTCTGAAGCTAGAAATGTAGTCGGATGAGGTGAGAGGGCGCTGGGATGCTCTCCGTACGCTTTAGATTTGGGGGTTCCGGAATTGTTTCTCGTGGCCAGCCTCTGGCTGTGACTGTCGACTGCGATGAAGTTGTTTTTGCATAACCATTTTCCTTCTTCACTTCTGTTCCCCCTAAGGGGAAGGAAGGGATTAGTGAGGGCTTGGTAAAGGAAGAGATCCAGATCTGGTCTATTTTATTTTAGATGCCTGCTAAAAAATGTAGATCACTCTTTCCGACCTAAAGAGGATTATTTTAGGAGGAGGAGAGGGAGGGTGTTAGTACGTGTTACATATTATTAATATTGCTATTGTTGGTGGTGTTATTGTTTTCATAGTAAGGGATGTCACACACCGCGCGTTCGTTCCGGGACCCTAATGGCAGAATCACTACAATGAGAAATAACTAGCCTACCTCTCAGTTCCCTCTCCTGCCAGCCCCCTCCCTCCCCATAACCGACCCCGGAGGTTTCCAGGTCGCGAGGCGCAGCCTTTGAGTTGGAGTCCTCTCCGCTCCGGCGTGTGTTTCCAGGATGCTTTGCGTTTGGGGATTCTGAATGTCAGCTGGATGAGGGTGGTGATGGGGACCCCCACCCTCGCGGAGTGGGGGTGGGGATGGAATGGCGGGGGGAATAGAAAGTGGACAGGAAAATGAAGTTTTGAGGACAGTGCTGCCCCAGCCGTCTCTCCTTTGCAGCAGACTTCTTCTGCACCCGGTTCCGACTAGAGGTTTTGCTTCTGGGAATGAGGATGGGGTAGCATGGCTCCCGGGGACACTGACTGCTAACTCTGATCTCTCTATTACCGCGAGTGTGTAATGAGCCTTCTCCCCTCCCCCGCTCCAGCATCTGTTTCTGTTTTTCCTCTTCGTGGGACCCTTCAGCTGCCTCGCGAGTTACAGCCGGGCCACGGAGCTTCTGTACAGCCTGAACGAGGGGCTGCCGGCCGGAGTGCTCATCGGAAGCCTGGCGGAGGACCTGCGGCTGGTGCCCCGGGCTGCGGGGAGGCTGGACCAGCAGTCGCGGCCGCCGGAGCGCACCGGCGCTGAGTGGAACCCCCCACTCTCCTTCAGCCTGGCCTCCCGGGGACTGAGTGGCCAGTACGTGACCCTGGACAACCGCTCCGGGGAGCTGCACACTTCTTCCCAGGAGATCGACAGAGAGGCCCTGTGTCTTGAAGGGGGTGGAGGGGCTGCCTGGGGCGGCAGCATTTCCGTCTCCGCTCCTTCCTCGGACTCCTGCCTTTTGCTCCTGGATGTGCTGGTCCTGCCCCAGGAATACTTCAGGTTTGTGAAAGTGAAAATCGCCATCAGAGACATTAACGACAATGCCCCGCAGTTCCCTGTTTCCCAGATTTTGGTTTGGGTCCCAGAAAATGCACCTGTAAACACCCGGCTGGCCATAGAGCATCCTGCGGTGGACCCAGATATAGGCACTAATGGGGTACAGACCTACCGCTTACTGGACTACCACGGTATGTTCACCCTGGACGTGGAGGAGAATGAGAACGGGGAGCGCACCCCCTACCTAATTGTCATGGGTGCCTTGGACAGGGAAACTCAGGACCAGTACGTGAGCATCATCATAGCTGAGGACGGTGGGTCTCCACCACTGTCAGGCAGTGCCACCCTCACCATTGGCATAAGTGACATCAATGACAATTGCCCTATCTTTGTAGACTCACAAATCAATGTCACTGTGTATGGAAACGCTACTGTAGGCACTCCAGTTGCAGCTGTACAGGCTGTGGATAGAGACTTGGGGACCAATGCTCAAATCACCTATTCTTACAGCCAGAAAGTTCCTCAAGCATCCAAGGATTTATTTCAGCTAGATGAAAACACTGGAGTCATAAAACTTTTCAGTAAGATTGGGGGAAGTGTTCTACAAATGCACAGACTCACCATCCTTGCTAATGGACCGGGTTGCATCCCTGCCGTGATCACTGCTCTGGTGTACATAATCAAAGTCATTTCCACACCACCTGAAATCGTCCCTCGGTATATAGCAAATGAGATAGACGGTGTCGTTTATCTGAAAGAACTGGAACCTGTTGGCACTCCAATTGCGTTTTTCACCATAAGAGACCCAGAAGGCAAATACAAGGTAAACTGCTACCTGGATGGTGAAGGGCCCTTTAGGTTATCACCCTACAAACCCTACAATAATGAATATTTGCTGGAGACTACGAAGCCTATGGACTATGAACTACAGCAGTTCTATGAAATAGCTGTGGTGGCCTGGAACTCTGAGGGATTTCATGTCAAAAGAGTCATTAGAGTGCAACTCTTAGATGACAATGACAACGCTCCCGTCTTCCCTCAGCCCTTGATAGAACTCACCATTGAAGAAAACAACGCACCCAACGCCTTTTTGATGAAGCTGTATGCCACAGACGCTGACAGTGGAGAGAGAGGCCAAGTTTTGTATTTTCTGGGACCTGACGCCCCATCATACTTTTCCTTAGACAGTGTCACAGGAATTCTGACGGTTTCAACTCAGCTGGACCGAGAGGAGAAAGAAAAGTACAGGTACACAGTCAGAGCTGTGGACTGTGGGAAGCCACCCAGAGAATCGGTAGCCACTGTGGCTCTCACAGTGTTGGATAAAAATGACAACAGCCCTAGATTTATCAACAAGGACTTCAGTTTTTTTGTCCCAGAAAACTTTCCTGGCTATGGTGAAATTGGAGTAATTAGCGTAACAGATGCTGACGCTGGGAGAAATGGATGGGTCGCCCTCTCAGTGTTGAACCAGAGTGATATTTTTGTCATAGATACAGGAAAGGGCATGCTAAGAGCTAAAGTTTCGTTGGACAGAGAGCAGCAAAGCTCCTATACTTTGTGGGTTGAAGCTGTTGATGGGGGTGAGCCTGCCCTCTCCTCTACCACAAAAATCACAATTCTCCTTCTAGACATCAATGACAACCCTCCCCTTGTTTTATTTCCTCAGTCTAACATGTCTTATCTATTGGTACTGCCTTCTACTCTGCCTGGCTCCCCGGTTACAGAGGTCTATGCTGTTGATAAAGACACAGGCATGAATGCTGTCATAGCTTACAGCATCATAGGCAGAAGAGGTCCTAGGCCTGAGTCTTTTAGGATTGATCCTAAAACTGGCAACATTACTTTGGAAGAGGCATTGCTGCAGACCGATTACGGTCTCCATCGCTTACTGGTGAAAGTGAGTGATCATGGTTACCCCGAGCCTCTCCATTCCACCGTCATGGTGAATCTCTTTGTCAATGACACTGTCAGTAACGAGAGTTACATTGAAAGCCTTTTAAGAAAGGAACCGGAAATTAATATAGAGGAGAAAGAACCACAAATTTCAATAGAGCCAACTCACAGGAAGGTAGAATCTGTGTCCTGTATGCCCACCTTAGTAGCTCTGTCTGTAATAAGCTTGGGTTCTATCACACTTGTAACAGGGATGGGCATATACATCTGTTTAAGGAAAGGGAAAAAGCATTCCAAGGAAAATGAAAATGTGGAAGTACAGATTCCACTGAAAGGAAAAATCGACTTGCATATGAGAGAGAGAAAGCCAATGGATATTTCTAATATTTGATATATCAATCTCAAATAAAATAGAGAGGCATTTTGACTGACTCTGGATGGTCTTCATCACCTAAATAAGAGTGTGTTGATGGCAGATCCGATGAAGGACAACTAATTTATAACATGTAATATATTGTAAATAGCTGTTTACAGGTTTTTAAATTCAAATTCAGAGGTTATAAAATGTGTACAGCATTTTTAAATGAAAATTGGTACTAACAGCTATAGAATTATTATTAGAAAAAAAAAAAAAAAAGCTTGGACTTGATTTGCAGCTTTCATACACCAAGCTGATGACTGACGAAACCTGGGAGTAAGGTAAGAAAATGGTACCTTATAAATTTGGGGGTTTAAAAAGTCCTTTCACCACAAGAGGGCATCAGCTGCTCCTTTGCAGGGAACTGAAGTATTCTATGTGACAGTTGTACATGAAATTAATGAGAGAGTATATTTTAAATATATTGTTTTTAACACAAAAGTATAAAGTTAAAGTAAATTAAATTTCACCCTTCTTAAAAGATATAAGAAAGAAAAGAAACTCACTTGTAAAACAATGTTTATTACCTCATAAGTACATGTATAGTTCAAAAGAGAAGGCATTAAAAAGAAGTGCAATTCCTTTTTAGCAAGGGTAAAAACATTGCCTTGTGTTACAAATTCAACCTGCGGAAGAGTTTTTCACTTTCTGTGAACTCGAATTGCTTTGTGTTTGCTTTACCACTGAGCTTGCTGTTATTACGGGAGAAAATATATATATTCTTCCTTCCAGAAAATGTAACTAGAAATTGTGCCCAAGAAAAACAGCCAGAAGCAAAGAAATGTTTCAATCCTTAGTTGTTTCACAGGTGTGGATGACATTTTAGTGCTTGCACAACTTGTCAGTCGTACTTTATACTTGGGTTCTATGTTAGATTTTTATATGTTTACACTTATCCCTTATCTAAGAAAAAAGTCACATTAAAACAATTATTCTAGAAGCTTGTGTACACTATTGGTTATTTCTGGTTGGGCATTTTATGTGAAAGTTACACTGTACTTGTCTTTTTACCGTTGTTTGGGGTTACTGGCGACCATTTCTGGCTTCCTTTCTTTGGCTTTGGATCAAGTCCAAGAGTTTATTTGTCAGCCCGGCAGCAAATTTCTTTGATAATATGGCTTTTTCGGAATCTTTTGCAATGAAGAAAGTTGGTCCATGGGTGATTTATCACTTTCACTTCCTTGTGTGAGCTGGAAATTTTATTTTATATGAGAGTTATAGCAAAATTATCTGTACAAACAGGAATGTAAGTGTTAGCTTCAACTGGATCCTTTTACCATTTGGCATCATGCGTCTGTACTGTACCCAAAGTGTTTATATGTCTACAAATTAAAGTTATATATTTTCATAATTTCTTTCTCATTTTTACCATTTTATATCTGGACAAAAGCTTGTTCTTTCACTGAAGTGCCTGTTATTGTCATCGATTTGTCTTTAGGGTTAACTGTGGGCAAACCTCAGTCATCTGCTGTGCTAAAGTTTGTATTAAACTAATTCATTACTTGAGGAAACACAGACTAAATTTTTAAATATATGTGTACTTTGAAACATAAACATGAATGGACGGTAGACATAGATTATATAGTTAATATAAGTTCATGTGAAAATTTGCACCCGTGAGTCATCACATGCATGCTAATTTATTATAGATTTCACATCAGTTATCAGTTTTCATTTAACCATATACCTATGGTAAATTGTTGGTTAGCTGCATTGCAATAGCTTGCAATAATTTTTAAAATAAAAATATACTTTTGAAATAAAAAAGTTGAATAAAAACACCCGGGACATTTTGGATTTGGATTAACTTATTTTTCTTGTTTTCTTTAATTTATGAATTTGAATAAATAAAATTAATATGAAACAGCAGTGTTTGTTACAAAAAAAAATGTATTTTTCCTGGAAATTCTTTTTGTATAAGAGGCACCTAAGCTCAGAGATAAGCTCATTTAACCCCCACAACTTTTCATTTATAACTGATGTATTACCAGTCATATTGTATTTATTTCCCTTTTATATAAAGGAAGAAACTTCATGAGATACAAGTAACACTATTAATTAAAAAATTCTCCATTCAGTGTAATAATTTTACTATCAGTATAAATAACAGAATTTTTGATTCATTTCTAAATTTGAAGAAGGCTCATATGCTTTGAGAAATAAACTTCATCCTCAGCATGAGACATGCTTGGAACATTTATAAAAAGATGTATTTCTGAATACTTCTTGTAGCAGGATTTCCTTTACAAAAATATCTCATTCACATTACAAACATTAATAACCAGGACAGCTAAAGTAAATTAAGCTCAAAGATAAAAGCCCCTTTTTACTAACACCTTGTGCTAGAATAGTTGCCAAAATGTATGCTAATCATGTCAATGTTGTTAGTGGAGCTGGCACAAAAATAAATGTTCCATTCATTAAAAACCCTAATATCCATTTAACAGTTTAAGAACCAGTGAGTTCTCCTTGCCCAATTTAAGGAAGAAGCTATCGCTCTCCTCTTTGCACTGCCAAATTCAGTGTTGGATTAGAGTGAAAATTACTCGTTAATTTAAAACCAACATAACAATTTCAGCTACAGGGGAAAAAGGAATTGATGTTATTTGACTGCTCAGAGTAGATTTCCCAATCTTACGTAAAAAAATAAACAAAAGAAATTAAAGCGTAATCAGTAGAGCGCACACTATCTGGGTGAAGGGCACACGTATAACTTTCACTCAATTTGTACAAAAAAAAGTATGTAAACAAAATATGTATATCCCCTAATATTCTGGAGAGTAAGAAAAATATTTTAAGTGTAAAAATAAAGGTAAAAATATTCTTTTAGCAGTTATGCCTTTATTAATGTTGGCTTAAAAAATAAAAAAAGAGATGCTTCTTTTAAATATCTTCATTAGTATTTTTTATATAGTAAAAATAAGTTTTTAGTATTTACAATATTCTGCATGTGTTGTATAAAAACACCTGGCAAGATTTTTACCATGAAATAACATCACTAGAAGCAATATTAGGAATGGTGTATGAAATTGCTTGGATTGCAGTAAGATGTCTCACAAAGATTCTAATTTGTGCTCCCAGAAATGTCTAAATTGATCATTCTGAAGGGAGGAAGTAAGCAAGCCTCTCGCCTGGAGAGGTGCAGGTTCCAGTTTCTTCTCAGTGAGCTGGGGATCCTGTGGGGCCCTGATCTCTGGAAGACCATGGAGAATGTAATGAAAGTGCATTGCCAATGGCATGAGGTTTAACTCCACTGGACAGCTTTGGTTCATAGAGGCCAAAGACATAAACACCTGAGCATTTTCTTTCCTCTAAGATGAATTTGCTCACTGCAGAAAGCAGGGGAAATTGCTACAGAATGCCAGATTGCAAACTTTTGAGATCTATGCCTAGCACTGTACCATTACATGCAAGTAGTCAATACTTGCCTTGGAAGTATTAGGAAGAAAAGAAGGAAGAGAAGTGATAGTCATGCATGTAGACTCAAAGCAGGAAAAAAAATCATGTTAAAACTATGTGAGTTCCTGAGCAAAAAGAGCCCGCCATACCATATTTTTTATGTCTGTTTGTAACATGAAAAGATCATGTACATATTCAGATAATATATCCAAACAGTCTATAATCATTTTCAAATGATTTTCAAATGTTGCTTGTAGTATCTCATTGTTTTTAAAATAGTAATACTATTTTCAGATCAACTCTTAAACTGAGAATGTCTACTTTTTGAAAGTATAAAATAAAATTGGGTGACCTTGATAACTTAGCCTACTAATGTCAAGAAAAACACTGCAGTGAAAAAAAACTCAGGAATTTATTCATTCATTCATTCCTGTACATGTCAGGACACATATTACCAGTTTCAATTAGTTTACATTATGCTGTGGAAGGCTAGTCAGAAAACCCTTGATTTCAAAACATTGTATGTGATAAATGTCTATTTGGATGCTGTGTGGGCAGAAATTTACCCAGTTTTGGAAAGGCAGAGTGTGTTCCCTGAAGTGGGTAATTTCTATTTTGAGTCCTCCTCAGAGGAAGTTATGTCTAAAATGAGCTAAAAATTGGAAAGTTGGCCAGGGTAAAATGGTCAGAGAGGAGGGAAGGGCACTCATAATGTGTAAGGCATACATGTGGGAATGAGCACATCATCCTTAAAGAACCAAAAACAGTATAACTTTTTTCTTGACTAAAGGGATGAACAGAATGAAATAGATTATGGACAATGAGCTTGGAGAGATAAGTGCACAGCAAATAATGGAGGAACTCAGAGTCATACTTGGAGGTCACACTTTTATCTCAAAGGTAATAAGAATTTCAAGAATTTTGACCAAGGAATTAATGTTTTTAAAAAATAAAATAAATGTATAGAACCTGTATTGAAGAAAATTATGGATCCTGGTGAAAAGGTTGAGTGACAATTTAAGTGAAAGATGAAACTTTAAACTGTGTACTATGAAAGAGATATATTTTTAGCATATAATAAAGGAGGTATATAATGTATACCTGATTGAAAAATAAACTCATGATGCTATAGAAATTAATCTGCATGTGATGACCAGAGAGTGCATAGTTTTCGTAATTCGCTTTTGAGCCTAATTTACAAATCTGAAACGGATAGGGAGCTCATTTACTAAACATTAAGTCAGAAATTAAAGTATTGGAGCCATCACCCCCTTCCGAATGTTGGGTTTTATGATACAGATGGAATTGTAAAGGCACTAATTTACCCACTTTGTTTCCTCTTTATGACTGTCAATTCTATTCAATTTAACAAACATTACTGTGTGTCCATGTGGTAGATATTCCAATATGAGTTTGACCTCATCAAGAATATTTTACCCAAGGCATTTACAGTGTTCTGCTTCCAGTTGTAGCAAAAACATACTGAAGAAGAAGAATCGTATTGAAAATATAAGAGAAAAAGATAATACAATGCTTAGCAGGCAGTATGAGATGTAAATATAATTTAAGGGCTAGGCAAATACAAAGAAGAATGAGATGATGGTTTTAGTTAATTCTGAACACAACACAGGAAATATGACCAGGTGAAATGGATAGTTAGAGGCCAGAATTACACAGATCTTGAATTTAACATTGCTATTTTGGAGGTTTGACATCACTTTTGATTGAAAGAAGTCACTTAACATGTCTGTGTTTCATATTTATCTTGTTTATAATAGAGAATTTAATAACATCTAAAGCTAAATAAAGATACAGTAGCTGTAAGAACCGCATTATATATAGTCTCGGATTCTAGGGAAGTCCCCTTATCCTCTCTTCCAATAAAACCCCCTGTCTATGTAGAAATTATGAACTTACTCTAATTTATGGTGTAATTTTGAAAAATGAGATAATTTATGCAAAATGTTTTTCGCAAGTAAAGTGTTCCTTAAATATTTACTATTTTTATTGCTATTAGATCAAATAGTGTGCTGCAAGGTAGTTCTACCTGTTCACTCACTCATTCCATCAAACTTATTGAACAACAATTTTTATTACATGACAACAATCTATAAAATTGACAGTTTTAGGTTAAAGACCTATATACTCAACCTACCTTAATATCTTTATCCTAAATATGCACTTCATAGACCCTTAAACTTTTTTTTCCCTGTTTTCCCAAGAAGAGTTTCTATATCCTTTCTTATTTGGAAATCTTCTGATGGTCACGTTTATAATTTAAATGGTCACATCATAGAGAAATCTGAGTTTAACCCCTAATTTTATAACCAAATAAACTGAGCCATAAGAATATCAACAAAAAAATTGAGAGCTGTGAGAGTTAGAGACGACAGGAATCATGAATGTCAGAAACATTCAAAATCCTACCAAAAGTGGTTAGCAGAGTGGCTTTTCCTTCAAATGTCCTTTTGAAACACAACTTCTAATTCGACCTTCCTTGGAAAGTTACCCAAAGTGATAGCTACCAAGACACATACCACATGTTAAAATAAATTATCTGGTATGAAATCTCACCTAAAAAATGAGGTCAATCAAAATTATTTATTATAATGAGTTATTAAAAATCATATATTTTTCCTGCATGTGGGTAGAGAAAAACATAGAGGCAATTTTCAAAATGAAGTTATTTGTATCTCACGAGTAGAAAAAGGTGTAAGTATCTATCTGGCAAATAAAATATTTGTAATGAAATAGTAAAAATGAAAAACTTCAGGAGATAACAGAATATAGAATAATCGTGGGAAGTTTTATGAACCTTGAAGAAAAAAGAAAAAAATATAGTTGATTTTCACCTGGGAATATTCATGTATATATCAGAATAGTTAAGCTAAAGAATCGTTAGGCTCTAGTGTGGACAAAAATGATATGATTTGAAAATGAGATTGAGGAGAT